CTTAATTTTTTTTATTTGAATATTTTGTACAAAAATAATTTTATTTTAATTAATTATATATATAATTTTTATATGTACACTTATTATTCACATATATTTTAAAATATATGATAAAATTTTACCAAAATACTTATTTTATGGAGTCAAATTGTAGTCAACTCGAATTTATGAATAAAACGATAGATAAAGAATTCCCTGGCATGGCGTTGGAGAATCTCCTGATCATCACAATTTTAAAATGACTTTTATTTTAAAATGAAAATAATGAATTTATTATCAGTTACGTGCACTATATGAGTTGTGTACTAATTTTAAATAGACATATTTTATGTAATTTTTCACAATTTTAAAATTCATATAACATTTTTAATAAAAGAATATAGGTAAACTGTATTACATATTGATTCTATATTTTTAATTATAAATATTAATGAATATCTTTTACCCGTGCATCGCACGGGATTCGTACTAGTAAAAAATAAAAGCAATGGTAAAAGAAAAAAACGAAAGGAGTAAAATAAGTAATAACTACTAAGTTTAACGTTGAAGTAATAGCAAGAGATACATACGAAGGGGAAGAAAGATCGTAGAAAACATAGAAGTCTATTATTAATTAGCAGCGAAACGGAGCTAAGCGCAAATAGATAAAAAAAGCTAAGAAACAAAGTCCCATATAAGTACGTAGCAGTAGAGCTTAATAACAATATCTAGGTAAAAAGCATTGTGCCGTCGACAATGAGTCCGTTCAGTTGGCATCGTCCCCACGTTTGAAGTAGTTGTCTTCCAGCTTAGCCAAACCCCTACTGCTGTTGCTGCTGCTACTTCCACCGAAGCCTCCTCCAGCCGAGTGCGGGTCTCCCTGCAGCATGAGAGCCCCAGAGGACGAAGACGAGGCGGCTGCTGCCTGCTGGTAAGGGGAGGCATAGTACATGGACGATGACGACCGATTTTGCTGTTGTTGTTGCTGCTGCTGTTGCTGTGCAGCCATTATTAGGGACTGAGGAGTAGTAGTCGTTGACATTTGCTGCTGCTGCTGTTGTTGCAGATAGGAATAGGAGGAATAAGAAGATGGCAAAATACCTCCTCCTCCTCCTCCTCCGTACTGCACCACACACAAACACTCCCTCCAAATCAAACTCACAAAATTACCTAATTCAACCGATACACAAATTTCGTTTTGGCGGGAGGAAAGGAATTCGATTCTACGTAATAAAAGTAGATACAGAAGTGTACATTACACTCATATTAAGTGGGGTCTACTTGATATTTTATTTTTTGTCGGTCTCACTCAATGCAAGTGTTACGCACGCAGCCTCTACGTACAATATTATGTACCTATAACATTTCTCTTCAATTTTACCTGAGACTGCATTGTCGTGGGTGGGTTAGGTTGGGAATCAGCAATGGCTGCAAGGTACATCAAGTTCCTTTGGAGTCGAGCTTGGTTCCTGTCGGAAAAAAAAACATGCGTAAGTAGTGCACAAATAGTTTTTTTAACAAGGACAAATACAGAAGCAAGGACCACAAAACGCAAAATCAATACCGATTCTCAATTCTCAATTATCGCATACCGTTAACACCAATGTTACTTAAATACTATTAAGAAACAATGAAGGCACTGTTTGTTTATAGACGAGGAAATATAGCAACAAGGACCACAAAAACTCTAAATACCAATATACCCGACTCACAGCTATTACATCATTGTCACAAATATTACAAAACAAATAAATGCAGTAGCATATATGCCTAGGTTTAGACAAAACACTCTGCACACAGCAAAAATACTTATCACCAAAAATGAAGGCATGTGGTTTATAGGCAAATGTAGCATCAAAGAGTACATAATAAAACAAGGTACACAATAATTTGACTTGTTATCAAAATTATCATCACATATTAGATATATATACAAGTTTAACATAATACAAAATATAAGCATGATATAGCCATTTTTACTTCAATCTACAGCATATAAAAAATTAACTAACTCACAACATTCATAAAACATGTATGTGAAAACAAAAAAAAAAGAGTTGAAAAAAATGGTTTACTCTGCACATTCACTCAGCTTTCCTGAGTTTTGGTTCTCCACAATCCTCAGAATGAGTGACTTGTTCTCATCAAGATACTGCAAAACACACACAAAACACAATTGAGGAGGCAAGTAAACATAATGGTATGAAGAATCAGAGATTATAATGAAGTGTAGTGAGAACCCCAAAAGCTTTTCATATGAAATAACTTCATTCAAACCCTAGAACATTAAAAAATACCTCAAAACTAAACCACTATAAAGGCAATATACATCAAATACAACAAACCAAAAGAGAAAACACACACACACACACACACATTAATTTCTTTCATGGGTTCTAAAAAAACCTATCTTTCAAGAACTTATATACAAAATGGAATAGGCTGTGGATTTAAGTTTGGATAAAAAGATTCTTTAATACAAAAAAAAAAAAAAAAGATAGACTGTTGGCAAGTCTCTTCATAGGTTTTGTCAAGAAAGTTGAGAAGATATATTAAGTACAAAATAACTAAATATAGAACAAAGCTAGAAGCTATGTATGATAGATGTAGAGAGGAAGAGGAGAGCAAACTGAAAACAGTTGGCAGCTGAACAAGCTAATAAGATACCAAAAAAAAGGGAGAAAACAAACCAACCCCACCACCAAAGATCCTCCATTTTAAACAAACAGTAAATGAAAATAGAATCTTATACCCAACAAACTAACTAAAAAGGTATGTATGTATCATTGTTTAAAGCTAAAAGTTGCCTTGTAAAAGATTGTTATATGAATAGTCACCAACTCCACAAAAAACCCCCAAAAACCCCATAAGAAGAGAAAAGTAAGTTAAATAATAATGAAAAAAAAAAAGTTTAAGAATCAAAACATTTCTGTCCTGTAGGACCAAGAAATACAAAGGTACACACACTGTCATCATAACCAATTAAAACCTAAAAAAGAAAAAAAAAAACCCTTGAAGATTTCTGCCAAAAAAAAACCCACAAAAAGTTGAAAAACAGGTGCTCAGAATTGAAAAGGAAAGAGTTTTGGGTGAGGCTGAACAAATTAGAGTGTAAAGTGTGAAAGAAAAAGGGAAGAAGAAGAAGAAGAAGAGAAGAGAAGAAAGAAACTGGCCTGTTGAATGTGATCAGTAGTGACATTGTTTGGATAGTAGGCTGCCATCATGGGCTGCATCTGTATCAGGTGCTGCTACTGCATGCCCCCTTCTTATCATATATATAAATATAAGGAGATGCTACGGTCCTATTACGGAATCATTTCGTCAGAGTTTATAATGGTTAAATCAACTATCCTCGACGGTTATATAATGATCTAACGGTTAAAAAAAAAACCCCGACGAAATGATTCTGTATTAAGACCGTTGTATTATCCATAAGTATATTTATATCCAAACTAATAATTTTTTTTTGCAAAATTAATCCACCACAACTATCCAAACACACCCCAAAAGAAAAACCCAAAAAGAAAAACCCTTTCTTTATCTCTCTCTCTCTCTCTCTCTCTCTCTATAATATCTGCAGCT